ATCTCTGCAAAGTCTAGGAGTTAGAGAGAGTAAAAGAAAAGGAGAAAAGTTCCAGAGATCACCACTGGAAGGTAAGATTAAAATAGGAAAACAAAATTAAACTAAGAAAGTCATCTAATTGCAGAAAACCTATCTGGGTCAGGCAAGAACCTTGAATACAACAGTTGGGACCATTCTTGATGTCTAAGTACTACAAAAGATGCTTTTGGGGCCGGTGCCATGGCTCACTTGGTTAATCCTGCACCTGCGGCACCGGCATCCCATATGGGCACTGTTCTAGTCCAGGTTGCTCCTCTTCCAGTCCAGCTCTCTGCTGCGGCCCGGGAGGGCGGTGGAGGATGGCCTGAGTGCTTGGGCCCCTGCATCCACATGGGAGACCAGGAAGAGGCACCTGGCTCCTGGCTTCGGATCGGCGCAGTGCCGGCCGTGGCGGCCATTTGGGGGGTGAACCAATGGAGGGAAGACCTTTGTCTCTCTCTCTCTCTCTCTCTCTCTCTCACTGTCTATAACTCTACCTGTCAAATAAACTTAAAAAAAAAGAGATGCTTTCAATAATTAATATGAGAAAACATGAAAAAAAAAAAAAAACCTTAACTGGGCTGGCATTGTGGCATAACAGGCTAAGCCACAGATTGGGATGTCCACATCCTATACTGGAGAGCCAGTCCAAGTCTCATCTCCCTTGCTTCCAATCTAACTTCCTGCAAATGCATCAGGGAGGCAGCAAGTGATGGCCAACTACTTGGTCTCCTGCCACCCACATGGGAGACACCCAGATGGAATTCTTGGCTGCTGACTTCAGCCTCGCCCAGCTATCACTGTTGCAAGTATTTTAGAGAATGAACCAGCAATGAAAGATTCTCTTTCTCTCTCTCTCTCTCCCTTTCAAATACATAAATAAATCTTTTTTTAAAAAGACTTGACCTAACAAAGATACTAAAGTAAGTAAATATAAAGTAAAATGTAAGGAATAATAATAGATCTCTGTGAGTGAGATCCCAGTGGAAAGAACAGGTCCTCAAAGAAGGAGGTACCTTTCTCTGAAGGGAGGAGAGAACCTCCACTTTGACTATGACCTTGTCTAAACAAGATAAGAGTCGGAGAACTCAGAGGGCTTCCATAGCCTTGGAAACTCATGACTGGAGCATAGGGAGATTACTGATGCCATAGACAGGAGTGTCAATTGGTAAAGTCAACAACAGGAGTCACTGTGCACTTACTCCTCAGGTAGGATCTCTGTCCTTAATGTGCTGTGCATTGAGATTTAATGCTATAACGAGTACTCAAACAATATATTTCACTTTGTGTTTCTATGGGGGTGCAAACTGTTGAAATCTTTACTTAATGCATACTAAACTGATCCTCTGTAAAAAAAAAAAAAAAAAAAAGAAAGAAAAAAAAAAGAAATTATCAACTCCCAACTTGACTCTCACTGGGATTAAACATGACAATAGGTCTGATCTGATTTCATCATCATTTAAAAAAAATCATCTATTATTTTTCACTTTATGTTTCTGCGTGGGAGCAAACTGTTGAAATCCTTACTTAATGTATACTAAGCTGATCTTCTGTATATTAAGATAATCGAAAATGAATCTTGATGTGAATGGAAGGGGAGAGGGAGTGGGAAAGGGGAGGGTTGTGGGTGGGAGGGACGGTATGGGTGGGAAGCCATTGTAATCCATAAATCGTACTTTGGAAATTTATATTCATTAAATAAAAGTTAAAAAAAAGGAATAATAATAATATTAACTGCCATTTACTATGGAGTGTTATCTTCTAGCATTGTTAACTATACTCTAAACTCTATCTCCTTTAATTATTCCGAATATACAAGGTGAATAGCCCTCTCCTCATTTTGCATATAAGGCAAATAGCATCAAAGATCAGACAAGTAAGATGTAGTAATGCCAAGATCAAACCCTCCAACCGGTTTGCTCTGCATTCTCCACCCCGTACTTTCCTGTTTCTGCTATCATGTGTGTTTGTCTTCTTTCCAAACCATTATCCACTAGTCTGTTTTCCTTCAAATATTTGAAAATGATATAACATTTACTGAACATCTATCACGTGACAGAAATGGTGCTAGGTGCAACGTGCTTGATTTTCATTAGGGTTTGTACCTTGAATAAAGAATATTTTTCAATTTTTGTTCCAAAAAATTAGATATAGTCTTTGTGGAAGATATTTTTTAAAAGTAACAAGTAAAAAGAAAAACTTTATCTGTAATCACACCAGTGAAGGGAAAGACTCTGTGAGTATTTGAGTGTAAATCATTCTTGTTTCTTGATTTTCCAATGGTATCATGATGTGTATTACAAATACTTTGTAATTTTTTGTTTGTATGCTTTTCCAATATAGTGGGAGCATCTTTTCATTGTATATAAACTATCCTTCAACATCACAGGAGTTCACCAGATGACTGGAAACTGAAGACTCCATTATTGGTTGAGGTTTTGATGGATTGATTGATTTCAGGCACTGGGATATCAGGTAGACAAAACAAAATTTTGGCTTAAGAATTTTGTATTCTAGTGGAGGCTTCAAACAAGTAGACTGTCTTTAACAACCAATGAGGTGAGTACCACAATAAGAATGATCACTTAGAAGGGGCTGCATGCCGAATCCTGTCTTTGAGGTCAGGATGTGATGCTTAATTGAGATCATGGAGTAAGAAGAGGTACACTTGTAGGTGCTGAGGGAGGGTCCAAGAGAAAGACAAGGCAGAAGCAAGGGTTGTGGGGAAGAGTCTTCCAAATGGAGGAAGGAGAATGTGCAAAGGTCTAAAGTAAACACATAGCAACCACAGCAACTCAGTGTGATTGAAAGGTCGAGAGGGAAGAGGAATGGCTGGGCTGGGGCACCATGATAAGAAGCCTGTGAAACCAAAACAAATGGACAGCCTTTATTATAGGACAGACAAGGGAAACCCAACACATAAGGTAATTAAGATGGGAAACCAGAGACAGAGTGGGCAATCTGGGAGAATGCAGTGTCTGGGAATGAGGGAGACTTAAGAAGTTACAATTGATGTCAGCAATGTCAAATGGTGTGGATGGTCTTTCTAGGCAAGATCAGAGATTGGAATCATAAATTAACTCCTTGGTGACCTCACTAGGAATGGTTTCTATCATTGCCACCCAGGATAAGGAGTGATGAGGAAAAGAGGAAAGAGGAGCAGCACCAACCATTTTGAATAAACCAGTTACTACTGTACCTCAAGCAACTAGAAAAACAAATTTCTGAAATCAGTAGAAAGAAAGAAATAATAAAGCTCAAAGCACAAATAATTGACCTAGAGACTTAAAAAGTATAAAAAAGTGTTCTTTGAAAAGATAAATAAAAGTTACAAACCCCTTACCTAGACTAATGTGAAAAAAGGAAGAAGAAGATTAAAATATATAAAATCAGAAATGAAAAGTATGGCATTACAATTGACACCACAAAACATAAAGGATTCTTAGAGATTATTGTGAACAATTATAGGGTAATGAATTTGATAACCTAGAAGAAATGGATAAATTCCTGAATGTACACTTCTTACCAAGACTAAATCATAAAGAAAAAGAGTACTTAAAACAGACCAATCATGAGTAATAGTATTGAATCAGTATTGAATAGTATTGAATCAGTAATAGTATTGAATTGTCGTCCATCAAAGAAAAGCACAGGAGCAGATGGGTGAATTCTACAGTTAAGGAGAATTACTATAAATCCTTGTTAAACTATTTCAAAAATTAGAAGAGGAGAGAATTCTTCTAAATTCATTCCATGAAGTTAGTATTACCTTGATACCAGGAAAGTACACATATACAACAAAAAGGGAATGCTACAGGGGAATATCTTGATGAATATAAATGCAAAAATCCTCAACAAAATACTAACAAATCAAATCCAATAGCACATTGAAAAGATTGTTCACCATGATCAAGTGGGATTCATCCCAGGGACAAAAGAATGCTTTGACATGCAAATCAACAAAGGTGAGGAACACCTCAATAATTGGCATTTGATCTAATAGGAATTTGAAAGAATTCAACATATTTTCATGATAAAACATTCTGAACAAATTAGGTAGAGAAATAACATACCTCAACATAATAAAGCCCATATATAAGAGTAAAACACATAATATATATAAATCAGTGAACAAACATTACAGTGAATGCAGAATAGTTGAAGGATTTCTCTGTAAAATAGGAAACAAGACAAAGATACCCACCTTCATCACTTTTATTCAATATGGTAATGGAAGTCCTAACCAGAGCAATTAGATGTGAGAAAGAAATAAAGGGCATCCAAATTGCAAAGGAGAAAGTTAACCTGTCACTGGTTTCAGAATACGTGGTTCTATATATAGAAAATCACAGGGCTAATCCTCCGCCTTTGGCGCCGGAATCCCATATGGGCACCAGTTCCAGTCCCGGTTGCTTCTCTTCCAGTCCAGCTCTCTGCTGTGGCCCGGGAGGGCAGTGGAGGATGGCCCAAGTGCTTGGGCCCTGCACCCGCATGGGAGACCAGGAAGAAGCACCTGGTTCCTGGCTTCAGATCAGCTTAGCTCCGGCCATAGCGGCCATTTGGTGGGGTGAACCAATGGAAGGAAGACCTTTCTCTCTGTCTCTCCCTCTCACTGTCTGTAACTCTACCTGTCAAATAAACAAATAAAAAATCTAAAAACAAAAAAAGAAAATCACAAAGACTCCATCAAAAAATTATTACCACTTAATAAATGCAACAAAGTTGTAGCATACAGTCAACATACAAAATTCAGTAGTATTATTATTTACCAATAGCAAATTATCTGAGAAATAAATCAAGAAAGCAATTCCATTTCTTACAGCTACAAAACAACAAAATACCTAATAATAAATTGAGCCAATGGAGCCTGAATATTCATCAATATCACCCCCTTTAAATGTACTCATATGATAGCCTGTCTAACAATAACTTAAATTTTGTCTCCAGCTACTCTAGAGCAATATATGTTTAAATATTCTTACCAATTCTCATTTTTATTTTGGCCAGTAACATGCCATGAGGAAGATAGATATTTTTCAAAGGTTGTAATGGATTTGCATAATCAGTGTTTGACAAAGGAAATTCAACTGTTTCTCCAAAACTTATCATCTATAACAGAAATGTGGCAATGAGCAATTAGAGAATGTAGTTTGGAATAAGAAAAAAAAAAAACATAGTTCTAAGTCTTGGGGACACAAAAGCATTCTCACCTGTTCAATAAGAATGCTGTGTGCCTGATTCAACAAATTTAATTTTTCAGTCTTTGAAGAGGGCGATTTCTTGAATTTCTCAGCCTTTGTTAAGTCATCCAGCAAAATGAGGCTTCTCGCCAGAGTCAGCCGAGATCGTGGAGAGATAAACTCACTTCCTTCAAGCAAATTTATTATATCCTATTAAAGTAAAATGATTCATTTTGGTTGTGCTGTTCCCACCTCACTGAAATAAGAGCTGGCTGTGTTGATTGTTATGTCTTTGGTATCTAATGGAATTTAGCATTCTCCCCTTTTCTTCTAATTGGAATACTTCCCTAAGTATAAATAGGAACAAGGTTTCTTCCTACCTGAAGGTTTCTTATGATGTCTGTTTTTAAATGCTTCTCTTGTAGGCCGAGGATCACAGCTTGCATCAAGAATTCAGCCTGCAGCTCTGTATCATTTGCACTTTTTGCTTCCATACACACTTCATTAATGAGGCTCAAACAATCCATCATATCATTCTCTAAAACAAACAAGTGTGGTTATTTTAGATGCTCTGAGAAAGGAAGAAAGCATGTATGTGTAACATTCCCAGCATTAACCACAGGAATACCGTATAATCCCCAAGAACAAGGGATAACATAGTGAGATAGAAAACAAATAGACTCTACATGAAACATGGAAAAGAAATTTCTTATGATTTGGGACAAAGTAATTCAGGATGTTCCAGTGCAGCAAAATAAAAATAACATTACAGAAATAAATTTGAAGATGGATAGAGGCAGATAAATAGATAAGGATACAAAAAAAAAGAGTAATCACTGTAAGAATTAACATTTCTAAGTGTGTAGGCAATTATCTAAGAACATATAAAACGAACTAATTGAATACTGACAATAATGCTACAGTGTAGGTTCCATGATCTCTGTTTCTACAGAGCAGGAAACTGAGACACAAGTGGTTTAAGAGCCTTTGTCAGGAAAGTCTAGAAAAGGAAGTAGTGGATCCAGCATTGGAACCCAAGGTGAGGAAGGGGTGGTTACAAAATCTGTGCTCAGCCTCGTTCCACGTAACCACCTTCCTACACAACAAGAAAACCTGGCCATTAATGTCTAGAAATCCTCTTGGCAGTTTTGCATATATTGGTAACATGCATGCCAATTTCAGTGATAACAAAGGACTGATGAAAATGATTATTCTGGGGGCCGGCGCTGTGGTATAATGGGTAAAGTTGCCGCCTTCAGTGCCGGCATCCCATATGGGCACCAGTTCAAGTCCCTACTGCTCCACTTCCGATCCAGCTCTCTGCTATGGTCTGGGAAAGCAGTAGGAGATGGCTCAAGTCCTTGAGCCCCTGTACCCATGTGGGAGACCCGGGAGAAGCTCCTGGCTCCTGGCTTCAGATTGGCGCAGCTCCAGCCATTGTGGCCAAAATAAATAATAAATAAATCTTTTTTTAAAAAAAGAAAATGATTACTCTGATTTAATAACCTGAATGTTTAAAGGTTATTTTCAAGCTCGAAAATTATAAAATACATTCCGTCCAAAAGCCCTTTGCCTATATAAAATTAATTTTTACAAAACATTGATTAAGAAAATAGGACATTTGTACCTTTCACAACTCCAATGCCACGAATCTGTGCAACAAATGCAGTCACCAGCGCCAAGCGGCACTTCAACCACAGATGCATGTTGAAATATTCTCGGGCATTTAGGGAAATAGGATCTAAAAACTCATTATCGTCTTTATTGTCTGTAGGCTAAACAACATTAAAATGATGATTATCTTCCCATTTAACAAAGTCAAAAGTTCTGCTTTAGACTAAATGTAAAAGAAAAGCATCCAATATCATTACATAGGATTACATTTTTATATTTAGAAATTATTCTTGCATATTCTGTAAAGTATAAAAAGTACACAAAACAATCAAAACACCCACAATCCCACAATCCTCATTAACATTTATAAACTACTTTTCAGCTTTTCTTATCTCTGTATTCTCATTGTTGAAAACTAGTTTTTTGTCTGGAATTTTTTCATTGCAAATTATATTATCAGTGGTTTGCAGGCCATCAGTAGTTTCTTTTAACATCATTTAAGGGCTAAAAAATAATACAGTATTTTTACTAATATTTCTTGAGTGAGTACTATGTGCCAGGCAGTGCTTTACGCACATTATCTCATGTAATTCTCCTTGCAGCCAAAGAGGGATTACGATGATTTCCATTTTACAGTTGAGAGAACAGGCAAGAAAGGGTAACTATCTTGCTTAAACTCCATCATGTTTTGGCAAAGTTGGTTCTCAAACCTATGTCTTCTTGAATTTAGAGTGCACAGACTTAATCAGCTGTGTTATATTGCTGCATGCTACTCACATGCCAAACAGGTATTGCAATCGATTTACATCCACAGTATCACACTATACAAAGGGATGATGAATGCCCAGGGCTACCAGGAATGCTGAACAAAGGAGTTTTGCCCAGGAGGGGCCAATCATAGATCCTTGGAACTTTAAAATCACCCTTTAAAAACAACCCTCATTTGTTCTAAGAATGTCCTGCTATGCACCTGTGATGGTTCATCATGTGCAATCAGTCAAAAACATCTGCTATCCAGGAGGAGCTAATGGGACCGGGAAGGGACTAATACATTGCTAGGTAGGTGGGAGGTTCGGGAAAAGAAGGGTGAGCTGCTCCTCACAGTGAAGCAGTGATCAGAGGCCCACAGGCAGGATGGGGATGAGAATGCACAACCAAGTCCTCAGGCCTCTTAACCTCAGCACTACTGACTGGCACTTTGTGCCAGATAATCATTGTTGGGTTCTGTCCTGCATACTACTGGGTGTTTAGCAGCATCCTTGGCTTCTACTTCTCGGTATCAGTAGCACCTGCTCTAGTTGTGACAATCAAAATGTTCTCAGGCGATGACCACTGATGACCACTGTTCTAAGTCAATATTTAGAATTAGACTTCTTTTCAGCATGATTGCTCTTAAAAAATGAGTCTCTATGAGGACAGTTTGCTTTACTAATTTGTAATGTTGCTAGATATTGGTGAATTTTTTAGTAATAGTTGAAAGAATGAACCAGGATTTCATGATAGGAATGTTTATATTTTAATCCTAAACAATCCTGTATTGTTAAATTGCTGGTCATATCAAAGTCTGGTCACAGGATTTGTGACACCAAATTAGAGAGCTTAAATACAGGAGGATTTAACTATGTGGAACACAGCTTAGCTGTCTTGGTAGCAAGGTAATAAATTCAAAAGTGAAATGAAGAGCAAGTCTTATGAAACAACTTTATTTGCTAGCTAGACCATTTATAAACTGCTATAGTGATATATCTGGATGGGACTTTGGTGATTACTATGACCAATTCTAACAGATCAAAAATGGTGTCACAGACTCATAGAATGGCGGATGTCCTAAACAGCACTCTGGCCCCAGAATCAGCCCTTAAGGCATTCGGATCTGGCTAAAAAGCCTATGAGAGTATTTCAGGCATGGAAAGCCAAGACACTCTGGCAAGAAGAAAATAAGAAAGTGACCTAAATGAAAGATCTCCACGAGTGAGATCCCAGTGGAAAGAACGGGTCATCAAAGAAGGAGGTACCTTTCTCTGAAGGGAGGAGAGAACTTCCACTTTGACTATGACCTTGTCTAAATATGATAAGAGTGGGTGAACTCAGGGGGCTTCCATAGCCTTGGCAGCTCATGACAAGAGCCTAGGGTGATTACTGAGGCCATAAACAAGAGTGTCAATTTGTTAAATCAACAACAGGAGTCACTGTGCACTTACTCCTCATGTAGGATCTTTGTCCTTAGTGTGCTGTACATTGTGATTTAATGCTAGAACTAGTACTCAAACAGTATTTTTCACTTTGTGTTGCTATGTGGGTGCAAACTGTTGAAATCTTTACTTAATATATACTAAACTGATCTTCTATATATAAAGAGAATTGAAAATGAATCTTGATGTGAATGGAAGGGGAGAGGGAGCGGGAAAGGAGAGGGTTGCGGGTGGGAGGGAAGTTATGGGGGGAAAGCCATTGTAATCCATAAGCTGTACTTTGGAAATTTATATTCATTAAATAAAAGTTAAAAAAATGATCCTAAAGACAAAAAAAAAAGAAAAGGAGGATGTAAACATGATATTGTTGTGAGTAAAGTGGAATAAAATGACAGGGATTCTCCAAAAAAAAAAAATGGTGTCAACAAAAGTAAAAAAAAAATAATAAGTTCAGGGACTTGCCTAAGGTTTACCAGTTAGTCAGTAGCATAAATAAGACTTAAACAGAGATCTTTTAACTCCAACTTCAATGGTTTTCCTACATTACACTTTGTTTCATCCAAAAAACTAGTTAAATTCCTAGCATGCCAATAGTTATTGTACAATAAGTATTAAAAGATAAACATTAAATTCATACATACAGAATTTCTTGAAGAGATGGAATTTTCTGTGTAATCCTGTCCTCCTTTCTTTTTTAAAAGTTTTGACTCCTGGAGAAGTTTAAGTATGGAAAATACTATTGCAGCACTAAAAAAGAGAATTCAAATTAAAAATTATTAATATTATACTTCTGACAATTATATATTTCCTGTGTATGTTCCACATCCTCAACCATCCCCAACACTGTTAGGTGCCCCTTACACATGCCCACATAGCCCTAATTATGCAGAGTACTTATCACACCTCCCTTGCTTTAGTCAAATGATTCAACTTTTGTCTGAGTTGGTTCAAGGGGGGATTCTATTATTTGCAACCAAAACATCCTAATACAAGAAAGTTTAACAATTTTACACTTATTACCATAATAAATATGCCTCATTTTCTTCTATTATTTTATACTTTCTGTGCTTATTCCTTTTTACTTTATGTTTTTTGCTATAGGACAATTTTGCTTTTATATTCCACATTGATTTGTAAACTATAGCTTCCGGGTAAAGCCAGCACCTGCAGTGCCAGCATCCCATATGCTGGGAGCAGCCAGTTCGAGTCCTGGCTGCTCCACTTCTGATCCAGTTCTCTGCTATGTCCTAGGAAAGCACTGGAAGATGGCTCAAGTCCTTGGTGCCCTGTATCCATATTGGAGACCTGAAAGAAACTCCTGACTCCTGATTGACCTAGCTCTGGCTACTGTGGCTATTTGGGGAGTGAACCAGCAGATGGAAGACCTCTCTCTTTCTCTGGCTCTCTCTGTAACTCAGTCTTTCAAATAATTAATAAAATAAACCTTTAAAAATTGTTTACAATAACAGACATAAGCATTCTTAAAAAAAGTCTAAGAGCAGTAATTTATGATGTCTGCAATAACACACTTCTCCATTAAAATTAACCCATTTTTAAAAACATAATTTTTCAACTTTATTAAGTATAAAATGAAATAATGTTTTTTGAGTCCCAAAATGTAACATGAAGAATTTACTACTCTTTTATTCCCTTTCTCATATTCATATCTGTTTGGTTACTGTAGTTTGGGATATGTTTCCTATGTTAAAGTTTATGATTATCATTAATTCTATCAGCTTTTTCAGGAATCAGTTCTGACATCCATATCCACTTAATACAAATTTGCCTTTGTTCAGACTTAGTACAAACAATTCCAGTGCCTACTACCAGCCATTTTTACAGAACTTTTTCATATTTGAGTTCTTAATTATGAGTTATCTCCTATCAGCTGGAGTCCCCACACAGATTGGGACACCTGCTCAGATTTCTGGATGGTGCCACACCCCCTAACTCGTTAAGTCCTTAGTAGAGGTGGAAGGCCACATCTTCTTTCCTCTTCTTTCCTGGAGCACTGCTGCTCCGTGCTGGGGGTACAGTGGACAGAGATTATCCCTTTTTCTTAGTCCATCTTCATCTGGGGCTACCATTTTTTTAGAAAAAGAAATCCCTTCTTCCTGTGAAAGTTTTATCACCCAAGGTTTTCAGTACTAGTAAAGCTTTGTATTTTTCTGACTTCATGAGTCCTTTATGATTTTCAATGGAAAGTTAGAAGAGAAATAAACATGAAATATTATCCTGATGGTATCTCCAAGCAGAAACCTGCTTGGAGTGCTCACTTTAATTTGTAAGGGGATTGTTCGGGGAAGTATGGTCTGCGAAGTGTTGGTATTCAAAGATAGTGAGATCATTAAGAGGTGGAGCCCACTGCAAGGTGATTGGGCCCTGGAGGCATTGCCCTTGGAAGGGATTAAGCAGTTCTTATGGGACTCTGGTTAGTCCTGCAAGAGTGAATTGTTACGAAAGAGCAGGCCTGGGCTCCCTGCTCCCCAGCTTCCTGTCTCACCAGGCAATCTCTCCCTCTTGCTCATGCTCCTGACATGACACGATCCATCACAATGTGACACAGCTAGGAGAACTTCACCAGAGCTGGTGCTAGGCAGTTTGGACTTCCAGCTTCCAAAACCATGAGTTAAATATACTTCTTTTATTGAAAAGCTATACCCAGCCTCAGGTATTTCATTACAGCAACAGAAAATGGACTAAAAAAAGGAATACTTTTTCCATGTATTTATATACTAGCTACAATTTCCACTTTTGGATTAACTATTTGTGGTATTTGATCATTCATCAATAGTGTGTTTATAAATTTTATCAGTAACTTTACATGAAAATATGAACTATTTGCCATTTTTTACATATGTAGTTTTGTTTTTCTGTGTCATGGCTATAAGCTTGCTGTTATATTCATAAAATTAAAATATTTTATGCATTAAATCAGTTGACATTTTTCTTTAGAATGAGTTCTGATTTTATAAATCAGGCCCATTCTAGAAATTCAATTAATAATATTTTCTTCCATTTTAAAAAAGTTTTAAAGATGTATTTATTTATTTGAGAGGCAGAGTTACAGACAGTGAGAGGGAGAGACAGAGAAGTCTTCCATCTGCTAGTTCACTCCCCAGTTGGCCACAACGACTGGAGCTGTACCAATCCAAAGCCAGGAGCCAGTATCTTCTTCCAGGTCTCCCACACAGGTGCAGCGGCCCAAGTGCTTGGGCCATCTTCTGCTGCTTTCCCAGAACAGAGCAAAGAACTGGATTGGAAGAGAAGCTGCTAGACTCAAACCAGAGCCCATATGGGATGCCAGTGCCAGAGGCAAATAATTAACCTACTGTGCCACAGTGCCAGTCCCAAAAAAGTTTTAATTCATTTGGGAAAATCTAAGTATTAAGAAATTCATACAGTGAAGGTAGAGAGTTAAAATCTCACCTTTGCTGTTTATCAACTACATGATCTTGGGAACCCCAATAATCAACCCCAAACAGGAATGTTGGGCATAACAGTGCAGAATTCATGAAACAGGACAACCTTTAGGACCAAATGAAGGTTTTGTTATTTCATTTGTTTGAAAATATGTAATGAGAAACTACTTGGGCAAGAAATAAATTTAGGGGCTATGGACACAGCAGTACAACAAAATGCCCTGCCCTAAAAAGTGTGACATTCCATTCTGAGTGGGGTGTGCTTAGCAAATCGGAGTACCTGGCAAACAGACGGCACATGATGCATGCTAGCTACCATCATTATTAGTGTACTGAGTTGGCCAGGGGAGATAAGGGATACCAAGCTGATATTTTTTCAGCATCCCAATCTTTTAGAAATTACTGAATTTTAAAACCCAAAGATTTTACCAAGTCATTAAAATAGTGAATGTATTTGTAGACTATATTGTAAGGTACTGTTTGTGATTTTCCAAACAAACTACTTTTTATTTAAACTAAAACTAAAACAAACCAACAAAAAACAAGCAAGATGGTACAGTTATTGTGGTGCCGTGTGTTAAGCTGCAGTTTGCAATGCAAGCATGCTATATCAGAGTGCCAATTCAAGTTCAGGCTACGCTGCTTTCAATCCAGCTTCCTGCTAATGTTCCTGGGAAAGCAGCAGAAGATGGTCCAAATATTTGGGCCCCTGCTACACACATGGAAGACGAAGATGGAAGTCCTGGCTCCTAGTCTCAGCCTGACTCAGATCTGGCCGTTGCAGCCAACTGAGGAGTGAACCAGGGGATGGAACATCTCTCCCTCTCTGTCTCTCTGTCCTTTCAAATAAGTAAAAAGATAAATAAATAAATAAACAAATCTTTTTTTTAAAAAAAGCAAAAAAAAAGCCATAATAAAAATAATGCAGATTCAGTGTGTACACAAGAATGAAGTTTCCTCTCTCCTAGCCAGCCTCCCTCAAGGCTACACACATTTCTGAGGCACTTCATTACTGACAGCTTCAGATACTGGGATGTCATGACTACTAGAAGATTCTGGAAGAAAATGGTGCCAATTCCTTTCTTTTGATTCTGAAGTACAAATTCTTATTTCAAGAGTATAAAAAATAATTTTGCTAACCCAGAAATGTAATGTATAAAATATAGGACACACCAGTATGGTCTGTTTCACCTGGTACTGCTTAGTTGCTATCTTAACCCATTTTCTGTTGCATCACAAAATGTCTGAGCCAGGGTAAGACATAAAAGTTACAGGGAGCAGGGAAGTCCAACAGCATGGAGACAGCTTCTGGAGAGGACCTGACACCGCACCATAGCATGGATGAAGGAGTCACATGGTCAGACAAAGCAAGCTTGCTGGGGTCCCTCTTCCTCTTCCTACAAGCCACCCTCCTGACCTCATGCCATCCTAATTCTCTCTCAAAAGCTTTACCTCCAAATACCATTAGCATTTGCCTTTTGAGATTACATTTCTAATACATGGATTCTGGGAGATAAACATTCAAACCCTAGCAGTTATACAATGGAACGTTTGTAATTTCTCTACTACACTAGACAAACAGAAAGATGGGAAGTTTATTCACCGTCCCAGTCTAAAATCCCAGAGGAAGGAAGTTTCATGATGAGCCAAAATTAAAAGGCTCAAATGTTTTCCCATTTCAACAATCAATTAGAGAACAAAAAGAAACACTTATTTTTCTGAGATGGGATTCTAAAAGAGAGAGGCAGCCCTAAAAAAAAAAAAAAAAAAGTAGGAATGCAGTGTGAATAACTTTGATGCCATTTATTTCTTATTAACATTCATGACAAAAATGGTCAGTTTGTTCTCATAAAAATCCATGCAGCTCACTCTACCTGTCACCCTAGGGAATGTGCCTTTCAATTTCCTTGACACATAATTTTATTAGAAGTATCATGAAATGTCAAGCTAGCCATCATTTGGAAAAGGGACTGTCCAACATTCTCAGCAGTGCCCACACAGAAGCTCGTGGGGGGTAAAGTTCACGAAAGAAAAACTCATTCACCTTGACAGTAGGCTTCCCCCAAATGACAACTCTGCTCCAAAAAGGCAGTAACATCAAAGTTTTTGCAGGTTTTATCCCAAGGGCCAGGTACATGTATTTAAAATAGGAGTGATTCTGATACATTGCACAGTATTTGCATATGTCTATCTGGTCTTCAAATTAAAGTTCTATTATGACAGTACTTTCTGTGACCATTTTATAATTTTTAGTTTCTCATTTCCTTCATATTCTTTCAAAAAAGAAATCGCATCTCTCCTCCATAGCAAAAGAGTATAAGACAC